TTAGATTTTCAATTTTCGCTGCGTCAAATGAGGCTATCAAACTGCGTTTACAAAAGAAAAAGATTGATATGAGGATTTGATTTCACAAGTGACTTTCACCCAGGGAATAAAATAATAGGTAGTGATGTAAAAGGAAAACCCAATGACCTAAAGCACGTATCGAAAAAGACTTCGCCAAAAAGGACAAAATTGGAGATCATATTTTTCACATTGCAATCACAGTGAAATAAAAAAATGGTGATTTGATATATTTATATAATTATATTTATTTGAGCCAGGAGGTCGTCCTGAAGGGTCTTGAATAGCATGTCAGTGATGGCGTGCTTCCAAACACAAATGTTTACCGTGAGGTAAAACTGAAAGAAAGCCGTGTTTTGACAGACAGGTGCAGGAAAGGCCGATTTGCATTTTTATTACAAAAAAATTGGTGCCTGTCAATTCCACATACAACCGAACTTATCCATTATCAGGTTTATTGAATAAATGTATTCATTCGGCTTAAAAGTGCACAAAGTTTCATTACAGGATCTGCTGTAAGTTGATGACACCAGATTAGCGAGCCTTTGAAGAATTGATGCAACTAGGCTGTAGTTTTGACAAAGCATGTTAACCTCCTGTAGTTTGATTTCCTTTCGTCACTGTTCAACAGAAGCTCACAGAAGCTAATAACCAAATACGTTCTATTTTCTTGTCTATTGTTCTTATAGATTTTTTTTCTGAATCTTCAAATTAAATGAATCAAGTGGATTACTTTTTAACTGTCAGTGGGAAATATTTTGTTCAATAATTATGCCTTTTTACCTAAGCCAGATCCTTCGCGACGGTTTTCTAATACGCGCGACTTTCCATCAGGAATCGTTGATTTTTACTTTCTGTATATGGCAAGATCTCCGCGTATAAATCAAGTAATATCTATGCGCATTGTAAGCTTCATAGAAATGTCTCCGTCACTGATGCCCGGCGAAAATCACTCATTGGCAAAGGTCTAAAAGTAACAATTGAGTGCGCTAAACCGCCGGATTATGTTAGTCATTTAGGATACAAAATTTAAGGTTCTTAGACGTTCCAAGTTCAATTTGAGGGTCTTGGAGTACAAAAGTTTGTATTTGCAAATTATTATTTTACTTTTACTTTAAAAAAAATAATAAAAATGAAATAAAACAACAAGCGTGCTTACCTAATAGTGTTCCATTGGTCAGTTCCATATTAAAACTGTACCCTTGTTCTTCAATGTTGTTGTAAACAGTTTACTATATTTTAACCTGTATTCAGATAATAAGTATTTTTGGCCCTTTTACATGGGTGTCAGTTCCTTGTGTTATTCAAAATCAGAAATGAAATTACTTTATATACCGGACATACACTGATCAGTTTGAGTGGAGACATGTTATAGTATTGGTGACGTTTATTTATACAGGTGGATCCAAACTGATATAAGCACTGCACAAGAACTAAGACCGGATCCAGACCGAAGCCAGGCAGGTTGTTTAACAATGTAATATATTATTGAGTTTGGTTCGACAACAATTCCACCACAAAACCTTGTTCGTTTTGTCAGCATACAAAGTTAACCTTCTTTAAACTGTAAATGTTCGTTATTTCTTAAGCATAATAAATTGTTATACTTCAACAGCAACAAAATGACCATACGCTCCACGTTTACAGCAACAACAATAACAATAATATAAGGCAACTGAAGCATCTGTCAGCATAGGTTAGGCTATTTCTCGAGTTTTCTGAAACTTTCTCTTTGTGGACCGCGCACTTAAATCTCGGTTTTTCGGTATATAAGCCTTATCTTCAATACGATTTTAATCACCCATATAATGTAAACTTGTCAGCCAAGAAAAAGTATACAAAAACCTTGAGGCTCAGATTGAGAGCTTAAAGCATTATATTACATAGAAGTGGGTGCGCCTCCTTCATCGGATTGGTTAGGAAAGCTTAGGCTTTCACGTGCTTACCATGAACCTTCCAAATGGCAAATACATTATTTAGCTCCTTTCTTTATCTTCACTTAAAAGCATTGGCAAAACGTTTTAAATGAGTCAAACTAAGAAGTTTGTATTCTCACGTAACTCATTTTTTTTTATAATCTGTAACGAGAGAGGACTTTGTTGTGTTGTCGCCATCATCAAAGGACAAGAAGTTCGGAGCGTTCCATTTACCTCACAGCCAAACATCACGTTTAAAACTAATAAAACCTACTTTGATATAAAAACATGATTTTTATTTTTTTATTGAATTTCGTCGACTTTAACCGGAATGTAAAAGTTATCTTGAACCGAAAAGCAAAAGTAAGTCCCTTCAGTTTTGTTTTCTGTTACTGGTTTTATTTTTGTTTTTAATTAAGCAAGTTTTGTTGGCTTTTTTATGTAAATGGCGCTGTCATAAGTAAAATTTTGAATAATAAGGTGAAACAGCGATAAGACATATTTTTAGGTACTCTAGGAAGCTCCGTAATATCTTGTCTGTTATCTTACAAAAAGGTAAAAAAAATCCCACCAAAAACAATTTAAACAATATATTAACTAAAAGTATTTCTATCGAGCACAAAAACTAAAATGTGCATCATGACACAATTTGAAACTTTCAAAAGCCATAAGATTGGAGTTCATTTTTAAAGAGATAAAATAGTCGAGAAATCTTGAGTTCAATGCCTAAAATATAGACGACAAAACACAAAACTTGCCAAGTACGTAAATTAACTCTTGGGGCGGACAGATGTGATGGAAACAGAAAAAAAGGTAGACAAGGAGCAAATTAGAAGCAAAGAAGGTAAAATGCTGTATTCGCACCTCGAGGGGGTAATTCGGTAATTCGTACCTGATTTGCCCCTAGTTTGTACTTTCTTTCATCCGAATTCCCGTCGAGCAAATTTGGTGTAAAGCCAATTTTTTGGCAGTAGCGAAGAAGCCTGTAAAGTCTGATGAAAGTAAGGAATCTTCTTTGAAACTAGCATCACTTTTTCTTTGCTTAATGTTTGGCTTCTGAAGCATGCAAATCACTTCTTCAATCGTACTTTTGTAGGCATTGTAAATAACGATTGTACGCTTATCCTTTAGCTAAATAGAATTGAGCGACTGTATTAGGAGACCGGTTTGGTTTAAATGAACGTTGGACTCGGTATTACCTGCACGAGTTTACACGCAGCTGTCACAGAAGTATCTGAGTATGTATTTTACTGCCTGGCTGGTATGGATGTCATACAAAGTATTCCCTAGCGCCGAATTGCTTGCGTTATTAACTGAATTGACTCATGCATTGGATTGAGTTTATATATATGTAAATATCAATCGATTAAGAATAACATACTAACCTAGGGAAAATCAAATCTCATCGTCCTTCGAAGAAGGAAACGAAGAAGCTTTGCCCGAATCAAATGGATTAGCGATGATTAAACCACCTCAGTCTATCGTGTATCCGCACAGAGCAATTATAGCTTACTCAAAATAATACGCAATTCACTGCAACGTCGCTACACAATTAACACAATGAACATAAACTTGCATGTATTATCGGCTGATATGTAAAACTAAGAAGTACTAAATCAGGTCCACACCACCAATTTAAACACGCTGAGCCGCCAACTAGGAAACAACACCCCTGTCTATCATTTGCTGTTCTTTACAGGGGGTGTCTTAACTTAACTCAGACCCAAATAACAACATGATAACGATTTTTAACAGTGACGGGGCAGCCATCCTGAGCAACGTCTGGTATCAACATTGATAATTATCGTGTCATGTACTAATCCACTAAATTATAAATTCAAATACGTACACATTAGATAAAAGTGGCCAACACGTAACCTTGTTATTGCATCATTAAACAACATATTTACCAAACAAATTACATGTTAAATAGGACTTAAAAGTGGGGTTATAGTAAAAATCCGGCAAACGACCAACGATAACGACTGTGGAGTAGCTTTCAGAAGTAGAAGTAAAATGGTTTATTGAATACCTTACTAGCAGTATGGACTGAATTGATAAGTTTTACAATGTAAAGAAAAAAGTTATGAAATATTATTACAAAACTAGTTGCATGCTAACTATATGAATCCTACCACTACGAAAATATAAAATCTTAGACTAACTATGAACTGTTATAAAATAACTGCGCATTTGTTAATAAAGGTATCACGGCACCTATTGTTCTTGCATGGTTTTACACAGTATGATCTAGAGTTCCTAAGGTACTAAGAGGGTCCCTCGTTGAATGGTATGAGAGGGTGCAAAACATCAATGGGATTTTCTACAATTTTGTTAAAAAGTTTTTTACACAGCGCTGTCCTTCTTTTCCCTAACGTAACAAGGCCTGAACGTGACAGGGCATCTGAGTAGTGCACTTCGCAAGGAAAAAGTTATCAATATCCTCAGGGCACGTTTCTGTATCCGTTCAAAACTGTAAACTTAGATATTGTGGAAGACTAAAATAAAAAAAACTGGCAGCCATGGAGTTAAACAGACTGGATGCATGCTACATCGAACTGAACCAGTTCTTCGTGTGATACTTTTGCACGTTTTAATTGCACTAAAAAATACAAGCGTTTGGCAGCTTTTTTGTCATTTTTGGTACCTAAGAATTCCACTTAAGGTCTTCTTGAATATAATCCGTCCCCCTTTCCTTCCATAAACGCCTAATACTCAGTACATGGAGTTTACCAGTAACCATGGGTAACCACTAATCCACAACAGTCACGGTACACGAAGACCAACAGAACACCTTTGAAGTCTCCCAATTAATAGTAATGTGATTTTCGAGAGATAAACGACAAAATGGCTTATACCTGTTTCTTTTTGTTTAATTCGACAAGGCGACTATACAATTTCATACAACTGTGAAAAGATCAATTCCTTAAAAACATGAACATAAATTTCAGATTATACAGTCACACCTCTTCGAAAGAAGACACTAAGTATTGTATTTATGGTCATCACAGAAGAGGCTCGACTGTAAACAAACTAAATTACACTTTAAAGTGGATTTTGTTCTCTTCACAGAGCAGGAATTCCAGCTGTTACTCCACTTTCGATACCGCACTCATTTGTGCCTCGGCGAATGTAGAAAAATCCTGGTAATTAAAAATAAATACATAGTTTAAGTGCAAATATAATTAACTTACAATCAAAACGGGTAGTATTTCAATATTTGAGTGCTACGCTACCAACGCAAAGAAAATAAACACTCACCATCCATTCCCCACTTGGGTCCCCAGGAATTGGCACAAATCTAAAAACAAGGCATATTTTATTATACTATTAGGCAAAATGCAGTCCAACCTCCACTAACGGCCACCTCTCTACAACCGCCATTTTTTTGGCGGACAGTCCATATATTCACTCTTGTTTCAACCTCTTTTACAATCGCCACTTTCTTCAGTCCCCAAGGTGGCCGTTGTAGAGAGGAATCAACTATATTCTTGACGAGTTCCCTTCTGTTTTTCGTTTTAATGAATCAAATCTCAAAAATTGTCAAGTTTTACGCATGTTTGGTCGTCAAAACGACACCTAGCCTTCATCGAAGTTGTTCAAAGGCAAAGTAACTGGTGAAGTGGAAAGCAATATGCATCGTCTGAAAAACAACACAGCTGGAAGATGTGCAACAACACACACAAAGTATTAATTCCTTCTTCCTAACCCTTAAACCCTTACTCTACCTTACGGCCTACCTTATCAGTCAACACACCTTCTATAATATATTATTAACACTACGACAAAAAACCAAAACAAAGCGAAAAATCATACCCAATAATCAACGCCTTCTGAGGATCGACCCCATCTAAAAAACAGATTAAAACGATTTCAAAAGTTAATTCATTGCATTACTGATAGCTTAGTAATAGTTACAATCACGAGACGGAGAAGGTCACGATCGGGTCTCCTTGCTTGTGTTCCGTTATATCCACAGCCGGCTATCGAAAACAAATCGTCAATTTAAAGCTTAGCGTTTAGTAACCAGTCGGTTTGACCGATATGAAGCGCCAATGGATAGGATTGTAGTCTTGTGCACTGCTACCTGCGTTACTGAATAGGGCCATTTCTACTGGAGACATAGAACAAAAGACGCGTCTTAAATAAGGCAAAAACTTTACCATCAGGTTATAAGAGCTTATAATGTGCGCCTTATCTTGGACGCAAACATATTTTTTTGTGTCATTTAGTCAAGACGTTTGCGTTTTATTTGCGACGCGTTTTCTGGAAGACGGCTGTTATTTGTGCTCTCTTTGGTGGTAATACAAACTTTCACGTCTAAGAAAACAGCTCAATGCCAGATCCCAGGGCTCAGCTACGAGTTGACTATCAAATCTGTCTAAAGACTAATAATAATTATCATTTGATTATTTAAGCCGTTGACTAGTTGTTTAATTTGCCGAGACTGATGAGTCAGTCAGCGTGGGTAGAATTTCACACACACACACACAAATATAATTTCTTCTTGAAATGATAGTTTGCCTGCATCCCGCATCTTATTCTAGTAGCTAAACCGTGATATAGAAAAGTAGAATCCTCTTAACATAAAGATAGAGAATAACAATCATATCAATAATCTAGCAATAAGTGAACCGACGAACCCGAGCATCTTGATGGCATGTCCTCCAACTTGCTGCCCACTGGTATGAATATAGACACCGCTGCGATACGAAAAGAAGTCCTGGTACACCGTGAAAGCAGCTGAAAAAGATAGGGTTCCATAATCAGACTTGAAAGGTTTGAGAATTGTTAAACTAAAAAGCTGCTTCACTCAAAGGTATGGTTCCCAGGAAGCGACAAAAGTGTTGAGAGGCGAATCACTGACTGTATACCCGGCCAAGGTATCGTCAATAACACTTAGCGCGAACCTTTAAAAGTGTCTCCCAAACCTAAAGGATCTTGAGTAAATAAGGCTCAGCCGATTTAAGCGGCCCATTTCCCAACGGCGGAACAGTACTTGCTTATCGTCGTGGACTACTCAAAGTAACCGGAAGTAGAAATCATCGACAGCTCAGTTGAAAAAGAACTCCTCTCTGCTATGGAGAGAACATTTCGTACTGACGGTCTAACAGGAACTTTGGAATCCCCCAAGGGTACTCCGTTTAAGGGAAAGTACCTTTCTCATTTGCCGAGGAAACAGGTTACATACCGGAAGATAACGCCACAGTGACCGGAGGCCGCATATGGCCCAACAGCCACTCCGAAGGAAGAGGCTGGTAGGAGATAGGTGCTATCAGCTTTTTTGGGGGGCAGCTACCGAGGTACACCTCATCCCTACACCGAGGAAACAAAAAATGAGCAGCGCTGCATCGGTATCCGGTGCAGAGGTTAATAGGGACTTTAAGCAACGACTACGGAAGGGTCTAGCACGATGACCGGAAGTATTTTTCCCGCCACGCGTCAATGTCTCAAATTCAAGGTACCACGGCGGCCATAGTGGTCAAAACGTCGTTTTTCAATAAAAAGTAAATTCGCATTGTTTCATTCTTTTTCGCAATTATTACAAGTCGCTTATTTTGTCAAATGAAGGCAAACTCATAGGGGAAAAAAGTTCGTCTTCGTTTGTTTACGTCCTCGATAAAACGTGAAGTTAGGCATTTCCACGTCGTGGTCGTGAAGTGATGGCAAAGAAATGTTGATAAAACAATGAGATGCAAGTGCAAGTTGTTGATTTGCTAATTAAACTTATTGACTGGCCGTACTACGCTTCCCGAATACGTAGAAGATCATGGCGGGCCATAGTGTCTTGTACGTTAAGTACTTAGTTGCATTTTAGGTGCTTAGAACGCCACTGTATATTTGAAACAGAATCGCAAGATATACGCATTTTATCCTTTTTGGTCATCCTTGGAAATTTCTGAAGGTTCATTTTTCGATCATGAGCCGCAAATTTCGGTGTCAAGCACGACACCCAAGTGAAAAATACAGTCAAAGACGCAAACTACAGTTGACGGGAAAGAGGATTTCATAAGGTATATCGGAGAATAAAACAACGCGAATACACTTTTAAGCGACATTTTCACCGCTATAGCCGTCGAGGTATCTAAAAATCCCTGACTTGAGGCATTGACAGGTGGCGAAAAATAAAATTACTTCGGGTCACCGTACTAGAACCTTCCGCAATCTTTGCTTAAAGTCCCTAATGTTCGAATCCCGGCAAGCCTGAACTTTTCATGCTTTCTTTGACTGAGATAACCTTCTCTGCATTTATTAGCATTAATGTGTAGTACCTTCAACCGGTCCGTTGGTCATAATTTCTGTCTGAATTGCTTCAACCTAAGTAAAAGAAGAGATTTGTGCTGAAGAGAGCAGCTGGTTGGATTCATTGCAAACTTACTGTGGAAAACCAGACAGACCGGAACCAAAAGAATGTTTGATGATGACAGCAGTCAAGGCAGACAAACAAACAAAAAAAAGCAGACCTACATAATAGTAGCAGGTACTGCAATGTAAGTTACAAGAAAAACATTGATCCTGTTTTTTTTTCTGTTCAATACAACTAAAAGCCTTTTAGTACATCGCCCATAAATGTATTTCACAAATTAACGAGTTAAACGTTTTGCAGTCGAATGAACTTGTATTACAAATAAAAAATTGGGTAGTTGCAAACGAACAAAATTGAACAGCAAGACTTACAAACATCCTGTAGAACTGTTCCTTTGTGACTCCTATTTTACAATATAATATATTATTTTATCTTCTTGTTTAAAAAAATGAGTATACATGTGACCAAAGAAGGACTTTACATACGGATTGTTTGACAGTATATGCGTTTTCTGCTTTGTAGAATCTGGGTGTTCCGTAGCCACTGGGGCATTGCGTGATAGATGATCCATTAAACCTACAGGTTCCAGTTTTTGCGGTGTATTCACCATAGCACTGTACAGTCAGAAGGCTTTGGACAAATAAAAAGAGGAAAGCAAACTGAGTTACACGAGGCGCAATGGGTACCTCTCGGTTTCATGACAGATGGTTTGATCTAGCCCAGGATTAAGCTAAATTTTTAAGTTTTATTGTCTAGATAACTAGAGCTTAAAAAATTATCGTTGAACTTTTACTCTGAGATCCAGTCATGGTAACCTCCAAAATACTATAGACAATCCTTGGGCATATATATATAGAGCGGTTTTCACTTGACTGTCGAAAGGGATTGGTTTTGGTTTTGGTTTTGGTTTTACTACGCCCTTTGGTTGGCTAGTGTATTTACTTTGGTTTTGGTTTTACGACAGTCAAGTGAAAACCGCTCTATAAATCTGTACATTAAAATTTCAGGAACCAATCCACTCACCCAACTTCGGACATGTACTGCCACGCCTTTAAGGGCCAGCCACCGTTACAGCCATGATTCACTGTGTTACAGTCAACAAGCTGCTGAGCTGACAGCACCACGTTAATTCGATTGCTACTCACAATAGCAAACCTGTCTGAAAGTACTTCTGCATTAAACAAACAAAACATAGAAACAAAATTAGACATAAATTAACTATAGTTTTTTCACCAATGTAAAAGAACTTGACTAATATTGACCATTAACCCACCTGAGGCTCCAAAGGCCCAACAACTTCCACAATCACCCTAAGAATGAAAAAAAAATCGAGTATTAAAAGTTTGTTTATCTACAACCAAATGGTTTGTACTGCGCCATTGCATTGATGGTAGTTATATTATGTTTGACCTAAGGGCTACTTCCCTGATGTTTCCGGTTAATCTTATGTTGGTTTAGTAATTTTTCAATGTGTATGGAAGAACAACAAAATCAAACTAAAGTCATCATGAAAGTAAGTCATTGTCATCATGAATAATTTGATTACTTGACACTTTTCTGAAATTTTGAGCCATTCCAGAAACACTGCTGTTATTACTTCTACTACTTTGTACCTGATTTCTAATCTCGTGAATGGAGCCAGGCCACTTTGTACGAGCATCAAAACTGTCGGGAATTTCATTAGCAACATCCTGTTTAACAAGTTTAGGAGGAGAATCTTTGGGCCATGGACCATAACTGCCAAGCATCTTTTTAGCATCCGACCAATCCATGCCAGCGAATTGTTTATAAACAGTTGCCTTCCATCTGCAGATACAAATTAGCATCATATGACAAACAGCAGATCTACTCAGTACAATAAAATAATTTTTAGTATTTAATATACTTACACTGATAATTATGATAATAACTAAACTAACTGATATTAAGTATGGGATTTTGGTTTAGGTCTGAAACTAATTAAGACAAATCGTATACTGTGGCAGGAAATAACTGTGGTTTGAAATTAAGTGAGGGTATCAAGAACAATGACTCAGGACCCCTTCCAAATTTTCCAGGAGACTATAAACACACTTCGGTTGTAGGGTTATAATTCAAACCTCTGCCGGGGACAATAAGCGTCTCGGCCTGATTGCTCACTTTTGGTGGCAAAGTGCCTCTCACATTTTAGACTGACTGTAAAACAAAAAATTAATATAATTATATTTTAAGGAAGCTTTTTTACATTTTAGCTGCATTGTCTCTCCCTCTCTTTGGTATCCTCCCCTTGTACTACTTCATTTTTATTTATGAAGGGAGAACAATACATTTAGCTATAACTTTTATTTTCATTGCACCTATAGTTGCAGTTGTGAAGTATAATCTTGTGTACTTTGGGCACCCCTCGGCCGAGTACCGGTCAACACTCAGTCTACGGATATATCAGTTGACACGCGGTCAAATGACCGTCGACATGTCGAGCGTTATGTCAGCAAATACTCGGCCAAAATATTGGCCAATACGCAGTCGATACTTAGTCGGTATATGCCCGTCGACACTCGGTCGAAATCGCCAGTGTTGCTACCTTTATGGTATGTAGAGTCGGACGTTTTAATTACTTCGGCGGTGCGCGAAGTTAAGGATTCGCGCAGCCCAGGAATGTTTCAAAGTTGCATTTGGATGTCCCGAAGTTGTTTCCGAATTAGTTCGACAGGCGAGTTTGTTACTTGTGGGCTTGTTTTGAGTTTTGATATAGTGACACCGGAATGGGTTGGAGATCTCGCAAGATCACTTCCAGTTCTTTCGGCTACAATAAAGATTTGAGGCGGAGCACAAATTATTAAAGGATTTGCAACGCTAAAGAATGTAGTAAACTTGCAGTTTGCTTCCGAAGTGAGGCCAGTATCTCGAAATCAGTTTCAAGAAAGTCAAGATAACACAAGTTATATGCTTTCAAGAAAAAAATTGGGGGACAAAAATGTGTATAAAGTTTGAGAGTGAAGAGATTTTGATTACTGGAGATTATTGCAGCAAGAGTGATTCGAAAGAGGAAGATCGAGGAAAAGGTACGGTCGTTTGCATTGCGTGAAGACGAAGCGATTCAGAAAGCGACAAATTGTCAACAACGAGAAGCAAAACGCAGTTACCGTGGTTTCGTAACCGTTGTGATAAGCTTCATTATCATTGTTCTTCTTTTAGTGTTGTTTGGAAGAGTAGGTGTTTTTATACTTGTTTTTGTACTGTATGTTATTGCTCTTCACAAAGTTTATGTTGCGATGTTGTGGAGATTGTGCATTTTCAGCAAGTTTGTAAGGGGCGGAGTGTACAGATGTTAGTCAAGTTGCTGGAGAACGTGTGGAGGAAGCTGTACATAAGAAAAGTGTTGTTGTAGAGGAAATAAAGGAAGTGGAACTGAGATCTGTTCGTGCGCAAATTATTTATCAGTTGTGAAAGAAATTATAATCGAAACGTGGAATTTGACGAAAAGTAATAGCATACAGGTTCTTCATAACAGAATTTGAAACAGGATATTAGAGGAGATGACCCCTCCTACTAGCAGACATAAGACATCTGTTACTCAAAGGAGAAAAGTAAGGGTATTTGTGCGGAAGGGTATCCGGAAAAATATGATTTCTGACCATTCCTCCGCATTCACAATTAATTCCACAACCAGGACGCCGAAGTGCACGCTCACATAGCATCTTGTTTAACAAAAGACTCGCGCGGACACTGTCACTATCCTCTATAGCAAGCGTTTTCGCCCGAGTTCGTTAAGAATTGCCAAACAGGCCACACGGACACTAGTCATACTTTAAAAACCCTAAAAAAAATAAAGAAAATATAACCCCAGAAGAAGAGTCCACCAAGCATGTCGTTGGCCTGTCGATCGATAAGTGGACGAATTATCATACCGACCAACACGATTGGTCGACATATCAGTCGATACGCGGTCGACCCATAGGTAAACCTGAAGACCGACACTCGACCGCCTAAAATACAGTAATAATGTTGGCAGAGACATCGACGAAGAGTTGGCCGATATATATATGTCGTATAACGTGTCGAACGATACTCGACCGTGAGGTGCCTTCAGGAAGGGGGCATTGGGGTATATTAGAAACCGCAAAACCGAAGGAAAAAATCATCCAAAACCGCAAAACCGCAAAAAAATTCGGCCAAAACCGAAAACCGCATACAAAACCGTCAAAAACCGATACAATGGTGACAAGTGGGGCATACAGAGCAAACTAAACTAACACTAATTTCACCAAAGTATTTGTGAATGTCATGGACTTTGTCTGAAGCCTTCGTATCTTTTTGTGTCTGCTTAAATTATAGGCTTTGTTTCTGCCGCTCTCTCGAGCCCAGACTTTGCGGCTCAATTTCCGAAAAGCCGCTAGTTTTGGGAGAATTTGCACACAAGTCCTCTTTAGAATTGCAATTTTGCAGTCGCAAAAAGCTGTAGCTCTGGAAACTTCAAACGAAAATCTCTAATCGAACATTTCCATTTGATAACTAACACCTGAAAGTTTGGAGACTCGATTGTCTAACGTGCAACGTGTTTGATTACCCTGTGAACAGAGTCTCTTAACCTCTCTTCGATCTTGTACGCTTAGATATTACGTATTCTCAATGTATTAGCACTATTCGGGACATTAAGTCTTCGTAAACGAGCTTTATGTATGGGATAAACTATAGTGATTAAGCTATTGTAATGTAAATACAGTGAAACCTGTATTAAGCGGACACCCTCGGGGAATGCTGTAGTGTCCGCCTAATACAGGTTTCAATAGATAACGTCATATGAGATGTCAAATGCTATTCAAATGAACAGTGGAAATGTTAAGAATACTCCCAGAGACTTTGACGATATACGTTTGCATTAATTTCTTTATTATAATAATAATAATAATAATAATAATAATAATAATAATAATAATAATAATAATAATAATATTTAATACTTATATTGCGCTTTTTCGATAAAAATACTCAAAAGCGCATTACAATATTATTAATAACTAAATTAAACACCAGTAAAATTACCCGGTAAAATTACAATATTTAAAAATAAATAAATAAATAAATAATCTAACTAAAAGCCTTCTTAAATAGATATGTTTTAACAGAGCGTTTAAAAGAGTCGATTGATGTTTCCTGTCTTATTGGCAGAGGAAGACTGTTCCATAAAAAGGGGGCAGCCATCGATAACGCGCGATCTCCCAAAGTCTTCTTCGTTCTTAGCCGAGGCCTTTCTAACAATATACCATTATTGTTACGGCGTAGTTGGTAACGTGAGTCCGATAAGACAGAGACAAGATCCTTAAGATAGCTAGGCGCAACACCGTGAAGAATCTTAAATGTAACAAGGAGAATCTTAAAATCTACGCGCAAGCGCACTGGTAGCCAGTGGAGTTCTCTTAGCAAAGGAGTAACGTGACAATACTAAGGTGCGCAGTAAACCAATCGAGCACTGGCATTCATGACTCTTTGAAGTTTCTTAATTTGAAACTCAGGAGCACCGTACAATAAACCATTACAGTAGTCAAGCCTGCTTGTGATGAACGCGTGAACAAGCCTCTCGGTGGACTCGCGAGACAAATACTTCCTAATGTGCCGGATATTGTACAAATAATAAAACGCGCTAGCACAAGTCTTAGACACATAAGTCGACATGTCCAGATGAGAATCGAACCAGGTGCCCAAATTGCGCACTGAAGAGGCAGGCGATACCTCAGCTTGGCCGATCTTGATCTTGTCAACGGACACCTTTGATAACTGTCGTTCCGTGCCAATGATCAAGAACTCAGTTTTATCGTCATTTAGCATTAACTTATCATCTCTCATCCATGCGCGAACGTCACGAATACAGTTCTCAATCGCAATCACAGCATCAGCCTCGCTGGTCTTATCAACGGGATTAAACGATATATATAGCTGCGTATCGTCCGCATAGGTGTGAACGGATGGCAGATGAGATTTCAAGATGTCAAACAGCGAACTCGCGTAGATTTTATCAAAGTGGACCGATTGGTCATAGTACCATAAACATAGATTGCAACTCAAATTTGAAGAAATCAGATGAGTGAAACAAGCTCTATACAAACAAAACGAAATAGAAAAAAAAAATACTGTACTATGGAACTAATCAAATAAGTTCGTCAAGTAACGTTTTTTAATGTAAAAATCGAAAAAGTTGTGGGTGGCAATTCGAGGTAATCTTTCGCATTTGCGGTGTCTGGCATGTTGGGTAGTGGAATTTGATTACAAGTGTCCGTTTAATACAGGTTGGTAACAATAGAAATGACTATTTCACGTAATTTTTAGGTGTCCGCGTCCGCTTAATAGAAATGTCCGCTTAATAAAGGTTTCATTTAAAGTAAATAAGGGAAATAAATTTTGGGACTTCGTCTACTGTCCGCTTAATAGAGGGTGTCCGCTTAACACGGTGTCCGCTTAATACAGGTTTCACTGTATAATGACATTAATGATTGTCGATTGACTTACCAAACACTATTCTTAAGCTTCTGCAGGCTTCTCTCTTCCCTTTTCACTTTACATCTAAACTTGTTTTTCTTTTGAAAATTCTCGCCGCCTTTCCCCTCCTCGTAAAAAAACGCAACACAATCCACAATTGTTTCTTCCGTTGCTGGCGCGGGAGGTAAGTTGGAAGCCATAGCTCGCAAACTGACCAAATGGTCGCCCTGGTCTGCGAGTTCAAAGTCTCGCCGGGCGTCAATGGAGACGTTTGATCCCCTACCATGACATTTATTTTGTCACGCATTCCTCTAAATAACTTTGGCGTTTCGCGGCTATTCGACCCCCGAAGTGCTGCTCAAATCGAACAGAAACCGGAACCCAAAATAGGACAAAATGGGAAAAACCAAAAACCACATCGGGTACCAAAACCGAAAAACCGCTAGTATTTTTCACGAAAACCGAAAACCAGATGCTAAAAAACGAAAAATCCGCAAACCGCAATGACCACCAAAACCGAAGTCTTTTGCAACAAAAACCGAAAAACCGATTTAAAAAATAGCCAAAACCGCAAAACCGAAAATCCCAATGCCCCCCTCCTTCAGTGCACAAGATCCTTCAATTCTTGTTCTTGGCGAAGGATCTCAGAGCAATCCTGCATGTCCTGTCATCCTGTTTACCGATCTTTTGCGCAATTTCCGCATATGACAATGATAACTACATTAACGCGTCAGCAATAGTTTCCCGTTTTTTAGAGTCTAGTCATAAGTATCAGTATCAATATCTTTGATCCGATACCACAGAAACTTTTTAAAAATCAAGGTAAATGGCATGTCACAGTTTGCTGGGCGGAACCTCCAAACAGCTTCAGTGACTGTTAAAAGAGAAAAACCGAAATTTTCAATATTTGACAAGATTGAGAATAGGGACATGTTAATATTTAACATTCCGTAATATTGAAATTTCGACACTCTTCACTGAGTACGTTTGACTGTGTGTACATCATGCAGGGTACTAAACAGGGGCACCCAACGAGAATATAGTTCAAAACCACTTAAACATAGCATTGTGGAACGTATTTTAGTATTTAAACGGTAGATATAGCCATATTTTTATCCCCTAAAAATTTTTTATCTGTTCGGATTTCCTAGCTGAAAGTCTAGTGATCCGAAAATTCTAGGGATCAAAACTTACCTTTTCGAAAATTTCAGCCAGAAAAAAGGCTCCCGTAAAATCTAGGTGACATTTTAAGGGTAAAAATCCGTTAAAAATGGGCAATTATACCATTTTTGTGGGGTTCGAAAATCATAGGAGAGGCGGGCAAGCAAGAAATTTAACAACAAATGCTCCGAAAATTCTAGATCTCAAATCGTCTTCCAAACAGATATTTTACGAAAATTGTCGTTGGGTGCCCCTGACTAAACTAAGTACTTGGACTTTTGATTAGCAGAGACTATTAGGCCCGGTTCAGACGCCGAACTTTTCATCAGCCGAACCTAATACTGTATACATCGAATTAAGTACATGAAAATTTCGGCGTCTGAATCAATTAGCAACGCCGGTTTCAATTTAGAACGGCTCAGCCGTTCTTTTCGCCTAGCCCGGCCGGGAATTTCGCCTTTGGAGCGACTTGGAACGGCTTTGATTCAGACGCCGAACTTTTCATGCACCGAACCTAATGCATTAATTATTATAACGTATTTTGTAAACAGTTTTACCATTTTCGCCTATTGAACTTAAGATCGGCGTTTGAATCAATTCAGCCCGTCTAAATAATTTGGTTCGGCCTTAATTCGAATTAGGTTAGGCTCATGAAAGGTTGGGCGTCTAAACCGGGCCTTAAAAATAGAACTAAGCCCGCTTAAACAAGCCATACCCAATGTTCATGGTGTTGATCTCTTCCGCCATTTCCAGTGAGGAAACAATAAACTTTTCATTCTTCTTCCCCAAAACGCTACTGCAAACTGACTCCAACAGAAGCAAAACAATTATTCGATGCATTGTTCTTGAGATCGCATGAGAAAGCTAACTTTGCAGGAATAGCTGGCAGTGCTCGGCAGTCGGCTGCAGGTTCGAACTTAACAGATAAATGCTGAATCACGAGGTTGCCATGTTACGGCTCGGGGCTGATCATGTGAAAGTCACAGAGGCGGAAGATAACGACGTCACGCTTGAACGTAACCTTTTCCATTGCGGGGGAGGGGGACCATTCATTCAATAAATGAATAAATTCAAAACTTCAACCCAACTTTATTCGAAATATATTTGTAAATACGTGACACAAAGAGACTGGCTAGGTAGCATTTGCTAATCTCGGCGGAACAGGTACACTTAGCCTACTCTGAAATGTCTAACTACGTGATGCGTACAACAGCGTTTATTTTGCAGTATCATTTATATAGATGGTGTTACATAAAAAGAAAAAATAACATAAACATAAAATAGATAAATAACTAGATAAAAAGAAAAGTGTAATGAAATGCGGAAGATCATCAAGAACAATAATTTATGAAGTCTTTTAAAATTTTTCTTCTCTGGAACCCTTCAAAATGAAATAGCCTAAGTTTTTTTTTACAAATGAATGGACAATGTTTATTGCTGCCGGGCATCAGCCGGCAGCAGACCATATTCTTGAGCGATTTGAGATTTTTCGTTCAATTGTTCCGTGGTTCGATGGTTCAATCAATCTGTGACTGCAGCGCTGCGCAGTCAGCGGTTTTCTTATGCAAGTGCTTAGCTGCCGCCATCCTGCCGCCATGGAGCAACCCGCCATTTTGTTTTGCTCTCATGTAAGATCTGTGCAGAAATCGTAGTTTATCGGATGTTTGCTCTCTTTTTAAACGACCTAAACGGTAAGAACAGTTCAAGATGTATTGTACGGAACATTTTTTCCGTTTATTTTTTTTATTCTAGGTTTCAAGATGAGTTATAGCGAGTATTCCTGGCTTTTGTCACACAGATTGTTATCTCGGGAATCAGGATTGTAAGTTACATAAGTGAACGGCATGTGCGGTACATCTACCTGACCTGTGAATAAACAAGTTTTGGCCTTTACGTTATTTGTTGGCAACTCATCTCATCCTGTGTACGATGATTTTTCGATGGAAAAACAGCCTATCAGCACTGCTGTTGTTTTAGAATTTCGTGACAAAATGGTATTGAAACCTTAGCGAGTTATATGAATGTAAGCATATTTGTCATCGTGATCGGCTCATTTTTTATATTACGCTCTGAGTGTTTCATAATGCCAGCAAGTCTAAGTTATTGACTTTAATAAAAAAGAATTCATAAGTAATGTTCAACTGTTCTACAAACTGTCTTTTTCCTATTCGCTTTGCAACTAACGGCAGCACTTCCCTTCTCAATGAGAACTTCTACTGAGATTAGTAAAGTTCGGGTATTTAAAAGTAATATCAGCATATACTTTTTCTTTTGCGTGGCTGTGGAGTCTACAAGATTAAAGGTGAAGTTCACTTGTTCTCAATTAGATGAACGGTGCTGACATGTTCTAGAGGGTGCTAATGGGGGTACCCAATTCTCAGTTAACTACTATTTTTTCGGCCAAATATCAGTTAACTACTATTTTTTTGGCCAATTCTCAGTTAACTACTAATTTTGGTTAGCTATTAACTTTCTCTTTCCTACAGCGAATATTATTCCGTCACAACCCGAATTTTCCTTCTTTCAGCAAGTCTATCACGTTTGGGGGTAGATCCTAATAACATCAAGGTATAAATTTACATGAACTCTGCCACTGGTACAATTTATTAGTAACTGAAAATGTAAGTCGTATAACCATCAATATGACACCAGCCTCATAGATCCAGACGCACCAGTCATGATCTCGTACTGATCTTCCCGATATGGTCATGCATGTCCCGCCATAAACTACTCCAAAGTCACCTTCCTCGGAACTTTCACTATCTGATCGGAATCAGTCTTGTACTTATCTGGTTGCTGTATGTCCTGTATCTTGTTGTTGGCCTAAGTTTCAATCCATTCTTTAATCCTTGCAATCCATTGGGACCGACGGCGAGAAACATTATCAATGCCAAAATATAGTCTTAAGTAACAAAACTGAACCATTATTTTTGGAATTCAATTGGTGAATTCAATCACTGTTTGCACCAATAGGAGAGAAATAGTTGAGAGTGCTGAAAAAGGCATGAAAGTATTTGACACGGGACAATTCGACTTTTATTTGGTGAGTATAGCCCTCTTGGAATTCGAAGTTCTCTTAAGCGATTCCTTTACTGTGGTTCCAAAGTCCTGGGCGTGGTTCAAAGCACTAAACGTGTTGTGTTGAAGTGAGAAACCGTATGTAGGTTTTCCACCTGTGTTGTCAGAAGTTTTTTTACCTCGATATAGATTTTGTCGACATCCTCTTCTGCGTCCCGCAATGTTACCTTTTTCGCAGACGTACCTTATTTGCATATTTCAAAAGCCTTATTATATCCAAGGGTTTTAAGAAATGAAAATTCCGCAACTGTTTCAGTAAGACCGGTTTAAACACGAGCTTTTCTTTCTATTAAAAAGTCTCAATAGTTAGAACTCCAACATCAGTTACAAAATGATTTCTCGTTAGTACAAATTCCATGTACTAGAAAGAAAGACTGCTGATTTCTTTGAATCCTCAGAAATTCTTTTTAGCCCGAACCAATGCTAAGAGTCACAGCTTTTTTATTTGGGTAATGTATAACTTGACGATCTTTTGGGTCCGTGAAAACAGTAATTTCCTTTTCCGGACACAGAAATCTTGTTAATATCAGAAGACGAATTATTCGTTGAGTTGTCTACAACCAGCTCTTTGACTTACGCTTTCTGTTTGTCAGGTACTGCCCTGGTGTGCCTTTTACACGTAGGTAATATAAGTTAATGTGCCACCTGGTCATCAGCGGGACAGAAAAATGTCAGAAAACAGCATTTCTGTTTGCAAAACTTTGTTGCTTTCATTAACATTAATATAATATCACTTAACTATTAACTCTTCATTTATCGAAAACGTTACAGTCTAGAAGACTTTTGCAGGGACTGATCAAACAACGTGAAATAGAGTTAAGTTGCGATATTTAGACTGGCCAATACCAGTCTTCATCAGGTTTATTGAGATATCACGAATTTACAGAAATATATATGAAGTAAAATAATGACTGGAAATTACATAATATGACGTGGTATGGTGTGGCAACTAAAAAGACAAGATAACAAAAAAATAAAAGATATACTATATATAGTTACAGTTCATCACGTTTATTGATGCCCAGAGGCTCAATTGTCTTAGCTTTATGGATAAGGTGGGCTTCACGTGCTTTCCTGAAAGAATCACGCCCATTTTTAAGTTTTTCAATAGGAATCAAGAGCATATGATTGTCGGAATGATTACTGGTAAGAAAGTGTTCTGAAACTGCAGTATGAATGTAATTACCAGTAGGGTTGAGTATAGGTCATCTATTTTGACTGATCACGATCTTTTTGGATCCGACGTTGAGCAAGATTGTTCGTACACGGTTTTTGCAGTGGTTTTTTTTTTTACGTTAACTAAACATTCCTTTTCATTTATCACTTAGAGCGGTTTTCACTTGACTGTCGTAAAACCAAAACCAAAGTAAATACACTAGCCAACCAAAGGACGTAGTAAAACCAAAACCAAAACCAAAACCAATCCCAATTCGACAGTCAAGTGAAAACCGCTCTAACTACTAATTTTT